TTTACTTTGGCTATACCCACAACAAAAATGGTCTCTTTGCACCTGGCAATTTCTTCAAGAGGATGGCTGGTGCTTTAGCAATCGTTTCCTCCATGAAATTTGATAGGAGCCTTCTGGGGCATTTTTTCCCTCCTCTCTCTTTACAGCAATTTCAAAACCCTTTTATTAAATCTAAAACCCACTGTTTGATAGTTCATATCTAAGCTATAATTACCCAATATGAAGATGCAAGCACAAAATAATTTCCTAGGGAGGCTTACACAAAAGGGAATAACTCTGATTTTTTTTTTTTCAGTCCTTTGAGAAAATCTATAACAGGATGAATAAAGTGAAGAATGATGATAGCGCAGCACAGATACAAACCTGATGATCTTACTCGGATTCTGTTGGGGTTTCCGCTCCAGTGGCTTCCTTAAAGGAGCATTGTCAGAAAGAAAAATCACATTGCTGGAAGTGGGTTGTGCAATCAATCACTGGCCACCGAGAAAGTGGGGGATCAGATGGATTCCCTTTTGAATTCAATCAAAACACTTCAAAGAAACTGGCATGTCTCTCAACTGAGGTATTTAATCATATATTTGGTGCCTGGCTCCCTGTTGCAGTTGCTTAATGAGACTAGACTTTTGTAATCCCAGAAAAGATAATTATGCAAGTTATAAACCCTTTTCACTGTAGATACCAAGTTTTTGGATAATTGTGTTTTCTTGGACTGGCCCTTGAGCAGATTGATTTACAGAAAATAATGGCTTTTTTCTTTTTTTTCCACTGCTAGAATGGTATAAACTACTATTTTCTAACCTGTAGTCCCTGCACCCCTGCAGTGCCTGGATTGTTTGTGAGGGCTCTGCGAAAGGTGACAAAGAAAAGCGTGTTTTCATATGATCTGCAGCAGTTACATATGAGGAACTTCTGAAGGTCTATATATTGGAAAAAATGGAAAATTGCAATATACGCAGCCTGAGGGACTTGATGAATGTGCTCAGCTCCTCTCAGAGAGTCCAAATTCAGCGGCCTTTCTCTATTCAGAAACCTTCTGAACGACCGGTTGCGGCAGTATGTGTTCCCAGCTCTAATTACTGTGAGATTGCAAACCATTATATGCCATATGGAGCCTCCACTGTTCCTGATCATCCTTGTGCTTGAGAAGACTGAGGTGTTCTGCTGTCCTTCTTTCTGTTACTCTGCCCCTCGTAGCATCCCCCATGGCTGGATCCAGCCATACATCACTCTTGAGGCTGATGCAGCAAGAGCTGAGCGACACACATCATCAGTGTGTGGGGTTTTTTTTAGGTATTCTGTGGGTAATTATTAAACTCAGAAAAAATACTTGGATATTAGGACCAGCAATGATTGAATTGGGTCCTTCCAGAAGGCACAGGATGTTTTATTCCCTTTCTCTGGAGTTAGAGTCCCAAATAGCCAGGGTTTTGTATTTCCCTTTTCTTCAGAAAAATGCAGTGATCCTTTACACTGGGACAGTCGTATCAGCAGGCTGGGGGAGCAAACCTAAGGGAGATAAATGCACCAGAAGTAGGTATCTCACTGCTTTTGTGGAAAAACAGAAATGCAGATTAAGATGGTTGTGGCTCTGGAGAGGTGTATAAATAATTTGCATTACTTCTTTCTCCATCTGAATAGAGTGTAGAGCCTGGTAATAATCCTTTATTTCCCACAGCCTTTCTTGGGGGGATCAGACCTGTTCCTGTGTCAAATTTATTAATTTTCTTACAATTTCTGTGTCCTTCCTCTCTTCTCTGCCCTCTGTGGGTTCCACACCATATTTGGTTCATGGTGTTTATGGCGGATTTCTGCAGAGAAGGGGTCAAACTGTTCCCATTTTCTTTCTGGAATAAATTCAGGGAGTCTACCAACTTTCTTCTATGAATCTTTGTGTTTGTTTTGTATTCAGATATAAGATTCACTTATATCTGTGAATTAATCTAGACATCTTTTTCAAAAGACATCAGAATTGTTTGTCTTTTTTCAATTTGCTTGTCTTAGGGAAAAAGAAAAGAAAAAAGGAGAGTAATGTCTTCTCAATCAAATGTGATGCTATTTCCAAATGAGTTTTAGGAGCGTAAAAAGTCCATGTGTTTTCCCAATTCCACATAAGTTACCTTAGCTCAGCATATCGCTGGGGGAAGCAAAACTGTTTTATCTCTGCAGATGTGAATGCCATTCACTTCTGTGTCTCATGGTGTGTTTTGATTTCTCTGTTTTCTCTCCAGGCCAGCTCTTTTAGGTAACTCCTCTGTTTTTTTGCAGTCTTGGACCCAGAAGGCAGGCGGTGTCTGTTTTACCCTTTTCTTTTGCAGCTTGATACTCTGCTCGGCACTCACTCTGACATTCAGCATTTCTTCCTTCCCAACCCTGTTCTCAGCAGGCGTTTCCATAGCGTGGGAGTGGAGTATAATGTCCTTTTCGTCTTAAAAGTGTGAAAAAGCTCTTTCCTTCAGGAATTAAACAACTGATCTTCCATCCGCTCGCTGATGTACTGTCCTCTAAGCTTAGCCCAAAACATTCGTGTAGGCTCTAACAGAATTTGGTCTCGCCCATCTCAGCTGGCAACACACCCCAGCCAGCTAGCTTTTGTGTATATTTTAACATTTATGGTGCTCTCTTTCTTTTTAACCTCCCAGTAAAGAGTGCACTACAGGCGATATCAGGTAGGAGACCAGGTGGGGTATGTCTGGAGGGTCTTCTGATTAATCCCCATTTAAAACAGCTTTTATTGTAAGTAATGATGCAGATTTTTGGAATTTTAAGCTGTATTAGTAGGCACAAAATGGCAAAGTATACTTTAGTTTTGACTGTAATTGAAATCTTTATGGTTAAATAGACTTCGCAATGTCTGCTCTTAAATCCATGCTTACAAAAGAAACTCTGAAGTGTCCATGACACATGTCTGATTCAGTATTTTGTATTGGATAGCGGCACCAGGAGACACTACACAGGAAGAGCATGCAAGTCCGGCTGCTTTCTGCAGTGCATTTCTAGCATCCCCAAGTGCTGTGTTTCTCGGAAAAGAAAGTTCTATCAAACCCTGGCACCTGGAATAACTTATACAGGGTAGTCATTGCAAATCTGTTAATGAATTAGGTATCCCCTCAGCTGGCTTCAGAACAGCAGCCCTCCAGACTGTTTATGAAATAGTGTTTTTTTCAATCAAGTTGTAGCTATTTAGGCAGCCTCTTAACTCTTCCCTTCATGGTTTCACTGTAAGAAGGACAAATGGAAAACATTAAGTCATCAGAAATCAATTAATCTGATGTGAGGACATGCATATTAAAATGCCTTACTTAGGAAGATCCAGATATCACACAGTATAGCAGATTTTGAGAACATTTGGATCCCTGATCCGTGCATTTCCGTAAGCTTAGCTTGTTTGGATTACTTTTTTGTTTGGACCACGATTTTTGTATTTGTTTTTAGGGTAGTTGAACCTTCTTTATAAGGTATCTGACCTTAAATTGCTGGTGTGCACACTTAAATCTCAGCTCTAGTATAAATCTGGCTGGATATTTTAAGGAAAAGAAACCAACAACAAAACCAGAATGGCTTTACAAAATTTTTTTCAACTTCATCAGCAGAGGAAATTCTAGTTGTTTTTAAGTGCTCTCAGTGATACTAGACTTGCTGTGAATTGTGGGGGAGAGCCTGGTATGGTTGAGAGTTGTGTTTGCTACTAGCCGCAGGTGCAGTCCTCGCATGATTAAAGCTCAGCATTTCTAAAAGATAATAACACTTTGCACCGATAATGTCTCCCAACATGATTCAGTCCTTCCAGCTGTGGAGTTTCTTCTTTCTTACATCTGATTGTGACCTGTGCCACCGGCTGGCAGAGGGGACTGCGCACCACTTCAAATAACACCTTCTGCTCTGAGTTGTTGGAAGCTGAGCCTCCATCTCCGTCGATGCTGTGGGTCCGTGCTGGGCTCCGCCAGCCTGGGAGAAGGTGGCCTGGTGCTGTATTGCCCTCACCGCTGCCCCAGTTCCTGCGACGGTCCTTGCCTTGCTTTGCTTCTGCGCTTCTGTCATAATATTGACTTGCAAACATATAGCTTTTTTGCCAGTTGCTATGGTTACCTCTCAGCTACCAGCATCTGAACTGTAGAAACGTGTAACAAGCAACACATTTCAAGCCTTAATGAAATGCACAGCAGTGTGTTAAACTTTTAAACCCAACGTGAATATCACTAAGCAACATCCATTCGTGATTTGCCATAATTACTGCTGCAAGCTCCTTATGATTGAAATGCTGGAGCCCAAGTCTTTCTCCTCCACTGCATCAAATACGTTTTTCTGCCAGTAGCTTCACAGTATCTCAGACCTGTGATGTTTCATAGTTCCTTCACAGTTTCAAAGAACTAAGTTTGACCTCTTTAAATTATTCACGCCTTCAGACCAGCAACATCTCAAAAATCTCCTTTTGTCTGTATCACCCATTTCCTTCTCATTCACTCCCAGAAATTTATTTTAAAGATGTTTGATTCTTCTGCCCTAGTTCCAAAATGTGAATCCAACTTGTTTCCCCCAAGCTGTTTGTTGCATATTTGGAAGAACAAATTTCATCAGACCAGCATTCGTGTTGAATTAAAATGTGTGCGCAGTTGGTGCTTGGAGCTGCTTGCTCCAGTAACTGCACCAGAAGGAACCAATGCCTCAAGTCTTTCGAGGTGGTGGTTTTCTACTAAGGGGTCTTATTTAACGTCTGTCTTGAACAATGCATTTTATCCATTCATTTGAGAAGTAAAATGAAACTGGACACTGATTGTATGTCCACACTCCAGGCTTCAAGTCAAATGATTAATTGCACTGCCCGGTGCAATTGCAGTTTTTGAATTAGTTGTGTTTGCAAATTGGGCGGTTCAGAATATCTCTGTGCTGTGCCCAGTTTCACTGCTGATCAGTCTGATTGCCTGTATTCTGTTAATATTTCACATTTACAGCACCGGAGTTACCAATCCTGGAGAGGAAAAACTGGTTGATCTATCTACTGTATGTTCGCAGAGACTACGATGAGTGTAAGGTAAGAGCTGCTTTTGAGACTTTGCATTAGGAACTATTTTACTAATGTTATGAAACGATAGTTTTCATACCAGTTTTCAAACCACCCTCTTTCCTGATCTCTTTTGGAATAAGAGGATTTGGAGAAAATACAAGTAAAATAACTTTAATGTTCTCAAATTGTTGGCTACCTTCAGGATTCATGTGTGCAGTTCTCTGCAGCAATCTGTGAGCTCAGTTTGTCTTTGGGAGTGGAAAAATGGAAAGAATTGCAAACCTCTCTTGTTCCAAGTGATGAATAGGGTCTTCCAAACTGATAATAACACAGTTCCACAGTGCACATCTCTCGATGGTACTATAAAGACTATGAAAAACACTTCAGTTGAGTAAAATGTTACTACCAAGTGTAAAAAAAAGATCTTGGTTACCCTTGAACAAAATTCTTTCATTTTACACATGATACATTGCACCCTTTAATTTCTCCTGGGTTTGGTGAGTAGCTTGGAAGTGGTTGTTTGGTTTGGGATTATAACAGTAAGTGGACTAAGGAAATGGCAAATCTATTATTAAACGGTGTGTTTTCCTGATAAAATGAACACGAGCTATTGAAGATGATGCACCAGTGGGTGGGAGGAGGGGAGTAGGAGTTGCCTTTCTCTTTCTGTCATGTGCAAAGAAGATCTGAAAAGACTTTTTTGCTTCGGGAACACCAGGGTTGGTCAGGACTTGTCTCTCTCTGCTGGAGAACTCCTGGGGGTGCTTAGGAAAGTGGCAGGCTGGAGAAAATTAATTTAGCTTTTAATTAATGGAGCCGTGGAGGGTTATATCATCAGCAGAGCAATTTCTTCTCAGATCTTCGTTTAAATAGATATAAACATAAGTTGGACTAGCAATCTAAACAGAAAGTTGTTTCCCTTTTCTGTTGATGTGACTGCATTTTTTTGGTCTCTGATTGTGTACTTTTACTGTTGCTGTGATGGGATGTAGAATCACAGAGTGCAAAAAAGATGTACGGCTCAGGAAAACAGAAAATAACCAAGTGGATGATATAACGGCAGCATTGACTTCTCCACATCTTCATCAGTCTTGGGAGCAAGCAAAATATGGGGGAAAAAATCGAGAAAAGACGGCTAATACTCTTTTGCTTGACAGGCCAGCTTTGCAGTAGCTGTCAAAATAAAAGGTGGCAAAGCCTTTCCTCAGGGCTCACAAAACAGGCTTTTTGCAGTTGGAGGAGTTTGGCACCAGACCATAGCTGGTTAAATGATCTTCCATCCTTTCACCCAGATGTGATGGATGTGTGCTCAGAGGCCTGGATTTGTCCCAAAGAAGATAGGAACATCAGCATGCCAGGATGCTTCTTCAGTCACTGAGGAGGGATAGGCACGTCCAAAAGGCGATTCAGATCTTAAGTGGGCTGAGCTGCCCTCTGAGAGTCTCTGTCTCTCTCCGCTGGTGTTATGTGGGGTTATGGATCTAACCTGGATGCCCCAGGTGCTTGTCCTTATACGTGATAAGCATAGGCATTCTTAAGCATGCTACTGGGGGCTAATACCTTCAAAAACAAAAGAGATATTGACAGTGTTCCCAATGGCTTAAATTGCTGTTAACTGCTTGATTTCAGTATAGTTTGGGCATTCGTTAAAGTCCATTAATTTTCTTTTAAGACTCAGCTAAGAAACAAGTGACCTGTGATACTATTAATTTTGGTCTGAATCTTGCTAGATTCTCTTTCCCACTCAGTGCTTTGAAATGCTTTCTCTCTAACATGGTTTTAAAAGCTCCCATATTTTTCAGTGATGCAAAAGGCCAAGAAAAAACTGTTTACTAACGTTAGCTCCCCAAAGTGAAGGCATTAAATTGATTTTAACCCTTACAGTGCCACTCCTGTGTCTATTTTGGTGTTGCCAAGCTTTTGACAAATTTTGCTGCTCATTACAGTGAGAGATTAATAACACTGGCTATTTGATTCACTTCTCCTTCTACCCATCAAGATGCAAGGCAAACATCCCCCAGAGCCTGCGGCTGCATCATCCCCTGCGATCACACAGGCAGAGAGGAGTGGGGGGAGAGGAGGGACAGGCCCTGCTAAGCAGTGATCATCACTCAGCTCTCGCTCTTTGCATGCAAAGCTAATAAACTGTGTTTTCTGCTTGCAGCATCAGTTCCAGCCCTGCCCCCTAACCATTTTTCACAACAGAAATCTTCCGCTTCTGTTATGTGCGAGGAAGGAATTATTAAAATTACCAGATGCTTTTAATTAATTAAAATTGCTCATGCTGGTTGGTCTCCTGCCAGTATGTCTAAATTCTGTCGGCAAGTTAAATAAACTTGGGAGGAAAAGCTGGGAATACAGATCATATTTCTCAGCTCAAGGTCTTTTGCTATGGGATTTTTTAGGGCTTATAGAATTAATCAGATCTCTCTAAAAGATAGCTCTCTATTGCCCTCTCTTGCTCTGAGAAACTGGTTTTATGTAGATGGAGGAATATAGAGTATCCGTATTCAGGAGATGCTTGGTTATGTCTGAGTTGAATGTCCTGTAATAATGTACTTTGTAAAGAGTATAATATATATATTAGCAGATACAGATCTGAGGGGAAGTACAGCCTAGACTTGTTCTTCCTTTCCCTTCCTCTCTTCAGTTTTCTTTTTACGAGTGAAAATTCTCAATAATAGCCCTTCTTACCTTCACCCCACTTTCCTTCTATGTGCCATATTTGAGGTTCAATTTTCCTCCTTGTTTTCAGGTCCTTCATTTGTATGCGTCTCAGAGGCAGGGGATGCTGGTACTGCTTATACACTTGACAGAACTGCCAGATGAGCACCAGGTTATTGCTAGCCCAGAAATCTTTCTTTTCCCTCCTTTGTCTCTTCCACTTCCGAGCAAAAGAGGAGTCTCAGAGCAGAAATGATGCACTTGGTTCATAGCCACAGTGCTCATCCTCCCAAAGGTCACTCTTTTTGAACAGTTTTATAATTTCGGGTCATGTGTGACTGTGGAATATAGCCAAACTGCACCCGCACCCCAAACTGTCAGCTGCATGAATGCAGCCAGCAAGAATTTACATTTTCATCAGGGTTTTTTTCCCCTTCCTTTTCCCATGTACTCGTCATTTGTTCATTTGGCTTTCATTGACTCCGCTGCAATTGCTCCAATTCAATTTATTTCTTCACAAAGGGCCTAGAGTAGATACCCTTATCAGCAGAGGATGCTTTCAGAGATTCCTTGTGGCATTTTCCCCAGGTAATATCTAATTATCTTTGGTAATAAGAATGAACAGAGAAATACTAAAAAGGCTACAGTATTCCTGGCACAGTGCTCTTCACACAGGGTGATGAGCTTGCACTCTTGGGTGCACTCTTGTAGTTGTCCCAGCCGCAGTCCAGTGCCTTTGTTATACATGGGGTTGTGGTTTCTGTAACCGAAAACAAGTCTCTGTCATTAGCTTTGTTAAAATGATGAAAGTTTACAACTTTTATAGCATTTTAATATAGCATATTGGAGCAACTAGCTACAAGTTCTGTGTTAATAGACTTTCCAAGCACAAATTCTGATTAAATGAATTTTGTAGTTCTCATGTCCTGTGTGATACCACTGTTACCATCACATAAGGAAGAACTGTGTCCATCAACACATTGCATTATGTTTAAATTCAAGTTATCTTAGGACATTCTGCAATAAGCAGAGATATAGCACAGCTATATGTAACGCATTCAAAAAAATTCTCCAAATCAAGGTTGCAGAAGGTATTTGGTCAGTCAGAAATCAATTTTCTTTTATAGAGGTTGCCTTTATTCAAATATTTGAAGGGTTTATATTCTTCTGAAAGCTGTCATGCTGCAGTTTGGTAACAGGGTAATAGTGAACCAGCTAATGGGCTTTTCGGTGAGGGAGGCTGCATTTGGTATGTACTCTCTGCACTTTGTCATTTCAGGCTGTCATCAAAGAGCAGCTCCAGGAGTCTCATGGACTGTGCGAATATGCAGTCTACGTTCAAGGTATGTTGTAGGAGGCCTCTGAAAGTCTTAATTTTGCTAAAGCAAGTTACTTCGGATTTGAGATACAGTGAACAATAAGAAGGGGAACAGATGATAGAAACATATAAAATTCGTATGTAAGAAATATTTGGCTTTTTTTATACTTGCTAGGTCTAGTTTTGAAATTTGGGATTTTCACATGGATGGGCAGATAAGATTTTCTGTTTTCTCCATATCGATGAGTTTGTCACTGGTTCCTCCTTGGACTGTGGGCTCTTGGCCTTCAATGTGTTGGCGTGTGCTTGGGTTGTGTGTTTGAATGTATTACAGATGCATGTTTTGTGATAGAGCTACCTGCCTCAGGTGATTGTTGTCTTACTGTTTGCTTTAAGGCTGGTCTTCCTCTTCTTTTCCTGCCCTCTGTCCCCTAAAAAATGTGCCCCAAAACTTGGTGTTGCAATTCAAAGTGCTGTGGTGGGGGACAGCTGAGATTTGTTGGCCAAGGACATACCGCAGCCTGTAGAAGTTGCAGGGGCGGGGGGAAACCCAGGCTGCATCTTAACGAGCAATTTGCCAGGGTTTAAAGCTGCCTTTATTCTGAAAAACAGAAATTTTTCCAAGCAAGCATGAGTCCTTTGCATGTGCTGTCGTTCTGCCTTCAGACACAGCTTCTGCCTTTCAGGGTGAAAGACCAAGTGAGCGTTGTTATAGTATGTCTGTACTCCTCCTCCTTTCCCTGCTGTCAGAGAGGCACGTTTTTTCCTGCAGATAATGGACTAATTTGCCTGGTATATGTTGTCTTACAGCTTTGATATTTCGCTTGGAGGGGAAAATTCAAGAATCTCTTGAACTTTTTCAGACATGTTCCATTCTGAACCCTCGAAGCGCTGACAACCTCAAGCAGGTGGCACGATCGCTGTGAGTGGTGTTTTATTGTTTCTGTTTGATGTGCCACCCAGGACCTTTCAGGTTTGGTTGTTCTCCCAGGCATCAACTGAAATCCCAGGAATTAAATGATTAATTCCAAACATGCTTCCTCCTTATCAACACTTGAGTTGGCTTCCAGAAGCGTGGGCTACCCTTAAAAGCAGAATCTCTGTTATCTGCCTGGCTGCTATTGTATTTTCTTTTTCTTTGTGCTTTAAGCAAGAGAGATAACACACTGATTTCTAGCTCCAGAGCTAAGGGTGCTGACTTGAGCTGTGTAAACTTGCCCTTACAGACCCCTTTCTGTCTCTGAATGTCCGGTTAGATCACCTGACTTTTTCCTTTGAGACAAAGGCAGACTGCAGAGCCTGTGAATTCATTCCTTGCATCTCCAGTAATGTCAGGGAGTGCCTCAGCATCTCACAGGATTGATGACCTTGGCCCTGAAAGGGAGCAGTGCTCAGATTGTAATATTGCTGAGATTGTAAACTTCTCGGGGCTTCTCACGCAGGTCTTGGGAGAGCTAGCAAATAGCATCATTTCTCACTGGCAAAGGTGACAATGGTTGCACAGCAGGGTTTCAGAGCAAGAAAAAATAAAAATTGAAATGCTTTCACAGGTTTCTTTTGGGGAAGCACAAGGCAGCCATTGAAGTGTACAATGAAGCAGCTAAACTCGATGAAAAGGACTGGGTAAGTGTTTCAGTGAGTTGCAGATTATTGTAGTATGCCGATGTTTCTGCAGTTCTATGAAGACAGCTACAAACTTGTTCCAAGCAGAGGTGAGCTCACGCTGCCTGCAGTCTGAGCAGACGAGGAGCTGCAGGGCTGAGAGGCATTGCCTTTTAGCACAGGCTCACGAGCACACATGAGCCTCTGCAGCATCTGGTTTGGATCACAGGAGCACGGCATCATTTCTACCTGCAAAATCCCACACCTTGTCTTAGGGCACAGGGAATCGAGCAACATGTTTGAGCTTTGCAAAATATCAGTATTAACATAGTCATATATAGTACAAAGAGCTAAATTACATTAAGGAAAACAGGGGAAGTAGGTCCCTGTTTGGAAACCCTCAGTTATCATTAAAACTTGCTTGAATAATTGGGAACCTTTTTGTAATGCAAAATATCACTGAAAAAGATTACCCTCAAACTAGCTGAAAGGGTTACCTGTTACCTACCAAGCATTATCTATTTTGGCAAAACATGGGCTGATAGCTACAGGAGCAATAATTAAATTAGGTCTTCTATGTAAGAAGTCAAAAAGTGAAGGAAGATCATTGCAAAGGGAAATGTGTGACAGTGGGTGAGAGGAGAGAGGACATGGCTTGCAGTTAGCTGTGGGCAGCCTTCTGCAGGTGACTGTTTTGCCTGTGGAAGTGTTGTTTCTAAGATAGACTTGCCACATGTGATCTCATGCTCTAAGCCATCAGGCACTCGCTGACTTTAGCTGTACTTTTGGTACTCAATATGTCTAAAATTCAGGCTTGATACAAGGATACGTTTGGTATTATTCAACTTACCCTGTGCCAGACAACTCAGAAACCTTTTATACAGTGGGTCTTCTTTCAAGTCTGCATTCCCTTAGCTAACCAAGCTACCTGCAGTATGTGCTTGGCATGACTATAACCCTATTTACAACCACAGCAGGCAGACTTCAGTGGGTATTTTGATTAGTTATTTCCCATACCTGGCTCAGCACTCGAAGTAGAGCCAGCCTCTGCTCTTCCCTTGCGCTGTCTCATTCTGCAAGCCGCAGTAACCAGGAGTTACTGATTCATTACTGTTCTCCACAGTTGGAGAGACTGTGTGGAGGAAAGTATCATTCTAGGAGGGTTAATGGGGAAATAAGAGAGTTTCCTCTTAAAGGTCAAGGCTGTCTAAACTGATGAAGCAGTGAAATGCTCACCAGAATAGAAACAAGGAACTAGTGGACCTTCCTTTTCAGCTCCCCAAGATGTGCCAGGGTGGGGAAGGTGGCAAGTAGCTTGTCTGTTAAACTATTGGTGATGAATTAGAGGCGTGACCGTTCCTTACAGTGTCACTGGAGTGCTTAGGATCCCTAAGTGATCTTCCTACTCTTGCAAAATTGTTTAAGATGCCAGAGGGGTATCAGCCCTTCTGGTGCTTGACTTCTATTTTGGAAAGTTAGGCACATCTTCAGATTTTGTCTAGCTGGGTGCAGCACTGTGCATATCCTAATGACTGTACAGCTAGATTGAGAGCCACCCAGAAGGGCAACTTATCTAGCTTCAGAGATCTCCCTTGGAACTGAGTCATATCTCAGTGAAGAAATCAGTCTTTGCTCCTTGTTCTCTCATTGTCATTTCTGTGTTTTTTGTCTCGGTAGCCTGTAGTCTTTTGTGTACAATCACACTTAAGCTCTGTAGGCTCCTGAAGCAACTTGAATTTACAGGTTTACTTGATCTACAAAGCCAGAAGGGTGTGGGCAGGCACAAGGGTCGCCCCATCCAGGTCGGTGGTGACTGTTGTCCCTGGCAGATTATGTAGCATGTATCTCAAACCTCATGCTGATGTGGAACCTCATGCTGATGTGGTTTTGTTTGTGGTTTGTTTTTTTTCATACAGGAGATCAGCCACAACCTGGGTGTGTGCTACATGTACCTGAAACACTTCAACAAGGTAATGGAAATGCTTGTCTTATCTACCTGACAAATGGGAAGCAGGGTTCCCCGAAATTTCACTTTCTTTGGTGTTTTGAAGTGGATCATTTGCAATGATAGGTATCAAGGAAGTTTTTTGCTTCAACGTTTGTTTCTGGGAGCAAAAGTTTGTGAGCTGTCTCTGTTTTCATTTGCTTGTTGAATTACTTTGAGTCAGCTGCAAGTTAGTGAAGTTGGATAAAAGTGAAACTGAGGTTAGCCTTATTGCTGGCCAGGAGGCCTTTTCTGAACTAGGATTTTTCAGACAGCATTTCTGTTTTTAAAAGGAATGTTTGAGAAACCTCAGAGAGCTGCCTCTAGACAGAAAACCAGCTGTGCTCCAACAAGAGCTGCTTCTGTTTCCGAGCTTTTTAAAACCAGAGCCATAAACACTGCTGGTTTTGTGAGGAGCAGCAATCCATAGAGCATGCCAGTTCCATCTTCTTGAAGAAAGAGAAGTCTGATGGTAATGACCCAAACTGTTTACCCAGCATACAGCTCAAACTGTTGCACCTCATGCAAAGAGTTTCTGAAGGAAAACTTGCTGCCCCTTGGGTCTGGCAGGATCCAGAGAGCAGAGTTGCGGGGTTTGTTTGCTGGAGGTGCAGGAGGCACCTTTTTTCCTCCATGAAAAGGATTTGCTGCTGTGTCTGAAGTTCCTTTTGCACCAAGCCTGGAGCAAAAGTCACAAAAGAGCATAGCTGCAGTGTGGGCAGCACTAACTTTATTAGCTTTGTAGCTAATAAAGAACTTCTTGGAAGCTTGAAACAAAGTTCTATTCCCAGCTCTGAGCACGCCATTCCCAGCTCCTCACTTAACCCTCCCCTAGGTGCTCATGGTGAGCACTGAGCTGTCTCTCATCCTGTGAGGTTACTTTGCAAGGGAAAAAACAGAATTCAGAAAACTTTTGTTCCCAGTTTGGGCCAGCTGCTCCCTGCTGCTCTTTCTGGTGGAGTGCTGTGGCCCTTGCAGCAAACCCCTGCTGCGTTCCCTGTTCAAGTCATTGCTGTAAAGCAAGAAGCTCTGGAGTATAGGTTGGGATTTGTTGTCTGCAGTAATGCCTTCCAAACTGGAACCTGCTGACTTCTCAGCTTTTCCATAAGTCTGAGATGTACTGATCACCCTAGGCACCAATACTTCTATGAGGATGTCTAAAATATAATGAAGCCCTTGCGGATGACTGTCTCTTCAGCAGTTGGTGGTAAAAAATATCCCATACTGCAGAATTCCATTACTGTGTCAGCATTCCTCTTTCTAATATATCATGTGTCCAGAGACAGCAAACATCTTTGCTGTCCTGCTGGCTAGGCCTGAGGAAGTAAGAGGAAGACATGCTTCAAAGTGTCTGCTGTTGGAGGGGATCGGTGTGTGCCTGACAAGAGCTGATTCACTCCTCTTGTTTACTTGGCAATCCATGCTCATTGCTGGAATAAGCATTTTAGCGAAGAATAAACTGTAATGTACCTCTTAACCTAACAAATCTGGAGATTCCCTCAAACCAAACGAATTCAAATACAGGAACAGGCTCCTCTCCTCCTTGGGAGGTCATTGCCTCTTGTCTTGGCTTGAAGCAGGCCACGTTGCCTTTTTCTGTCCCTAAAAGCATGTGGCTCCTGATGCAGAACTCGTTTCAACAATTAGCTGGGCTGGTTTTGCTAGCAGGGTTCTCTGAGCTCAGGGGGTGGTAGCTGTTTCCTTTTGCTAGCTCCTGGGGATTGCTCTTGGGCTGTTGCTTCACTGAGGTCTCTGTAATCACTTATTATTTTTTTTTATTCTCTGTGGTTGTGTGTTTAGGCACGAGACCAGCTAAACAATGCCCTGGAGCTCAACAGACATGATCTGACTTACATGATGCTGGGGAAAATTCATCTATTGGAGGGGGAGACAGATAAAGCCATTGAAGTCTACAAGAAAGCCGTAGAGTAAGAATATATCCTTTTTTTCTATCTGCCCATGTCCCATCCTATGCCAGGAGAAATTTGATTGGTGTCCCAGATCTGAATCGAGGACATGATTAAAAAGCTAATGGTAATTATAGTGTCTCTGTGCAAAGCTGGCACTTTCAAGCTCTTCAGCTGTCTCTGCTCTCAGCTGTAGTCCTCCTCCTGCTGACAATGTGTCAGGGAAGAAGGTAGCTGTTTGAAGGTCTGCCAAAAAAAAGTGGAAAAACAAATGGACAGAGATGCCTGGGAGCAAACCTATCCAAAACTGACTTCATAAATCCCAAAGGTTTATCTACCAAAAAGATCTAACCTCGGGTGTCTCTCTAACCCTGATCATCTGTCAAAAATCAGTTGCTGGGTTTCACATGCTGTTTTCACTTGGAGTGATTTGTGTTTGAAAGCATGTGAGTAGGCAGACTAGAGACGAGTTGGTGCACCGTGAGTTTCTCCCACCCTGTCGCTGTTTCTCAGTACTGATCTATCTTGTTTTAGGGCATTTCTGAGCATCTGATTTACCAGTGCTTTTAAAATGTAGTTTTGTAATGGAGGAAAACACTAAAGAAAAGCAGGAGCATGTCGGAAGCCACTGGAGGATCTGCATTTTGTTCTGGCTCTTTTCACATACTGTTTCCTTACACGTCTGCTTTTGGCTGCTGTCTGACAGTATATTGAGTTGGGTAGATATTTGGACTAATCTAGAATGTTTATTATGTAAATAATCCTTGCTAAGCATCTTACCAGGTTTATATATCTTATCTTGGTGCTCCACTGCCCTCCCTTCTTCTTCATTCCTGTTTTTATCTTTTTTTTTGTTCTCATCTGCCTATTACATTTTGCCTGCCATTACCAGCTCCACGATAGTCTGTCATTGCTCTGTGTTTACATACCATCAGGCACAGGCGGTTTTGTTCTGGTTGAGGTTTAAAGGTGCCAATGTGAGTGTGCATATTAGATTTCTTAAGTCTTGATAGCAGGGAATTGAAACCTTACTTCTGTTAAGGTGAGTGAGGCCACACATACAGTGTCTCTTTCTGTTTTTTCTTTTTTTGTTGTTGTTTTCATCCTATTTATGTCTTCAAAAGCTGCTGGGAATGGAGATGCTTTTAAAAGGGTTCACAGCATTGCTGTGTGAACCTCATACTAGCAGTGAAGGATTGAGAGTTGCATACAGTAATTGAAAGCCCTTGGGACATATTTTTTTCAAGCTTCTCTGTGCTGAATGGAGTGGTGTGTATGGCCAGGGATACATTAACAGGTAGTGCCTCTCTGAGCACTCAGGTCTGTGGGCTGCAGTGTAGCACAAAGCTGTGGTGAGCAGTCCACAGCTGGTCTGTGAAACAAGGTTTGTAATCTTTTCGTAGGGTAAATTAAAAGTCTGACAATGAGCGTGTGTAGGAGCCATCAGAAATGCTGAGGATTGCCTGTCCTACATGGCCCGAGAGGCTTGGGATGGATTTGCAGGATGGTTTATGGGAGACGATGGAAAATCCCATTTTGTATTTCCAGGTCACTGATGCAGACTCACTTTGAAGCTTAATAAAACCACATTATTTTATTATGCGTCCAGATCTTTCACTGAGCTATGTTGACTTCTCATTTATATCTAGAAGACATTTTGAAAGCTTAGGTGTAATGTTGTTCAAAGGAGGTCCCCATGATGGCAATTGTTCTAATATTTGCGTTTAATAATAACAGTTAGCTTCCTGGAGTGATACTAGTATAATGTAGCATCATAATTCCATGTTCTGTTTTTACCTTGTTCTAGAAGGGCTAATAAACAACGCAGCTCTCTGGGTTTTGTATTACAGGTTTTCTCCAGAAAACACAGACCTCCTTACAACACTGGGGTTACTTTACTTACAGGTACTGAAGACTGTTAGCTGTTACATGAACTTAATTATTTTCAAAATGACCAAGGGTTGGTGGGGTTTTTTTTTGAGTTAATTTCTATCCACCTTCCTATGACTTGCACACGTTTCTCTAAAGACTGCATTTAACATGACAGCGCTTGCTTTTCTTTACCTTCTTTTTTCCTTTTGCTGCTAAGAGCAAGTTGATTTCCTGGACTTGAGCCAGAGCAGGAATTCTGTTTGGCAACTGCCCTCATTCTGTTGTAAATCCTCCAAATACAACAAAACATGGCTAGTCATTACTATGCTTCTGGAGCAGGGGTCTAGCAAGTTATTCTCTTACAAAAGCAGCCATGAAATTGTTAGTGTTAATGCACCATAGAATAAAATTGGAATCGATTTAAATAACAAAGGCATGCTTACCAATTGGGTCTGTAAAATGTATGGGAAGGACCATCTGATTATTCCACAAGTAGGCTTCCCAAAGAGTGAACAAGCAAAGAATAATAGGCAGTAGCACCTGAAAGGATTGATGGGCTAGAAAATTTGAACCAAGTGTTGATTTGGAAAGATCCTTAAGCATTTCACTCATCATTTAGATGTGCAAGAATAAAATGTGGATCTTGAAAAAAATTGCCTTGCTCTAGAGATAGGGAAATTCAATAGGAGCCTTGGATGTGTTAAGTGGGTAAGTGTGGATTTGGAAGGGAGTATGACATGGGAAGAGGGATCTGTAAGATAGAAGTAGTGCGAGTATAACATTCACCCTGTGAATTTAGCCCCCAGGTCTCTGTGCTGTGATTCCTTTGTTCAGTTTGTCATGTCTCTCCGGATACGTACTAACCTTCAGGAGTTTTAAAGATGCTTCTACAGTTTTCCCACTTGCTATTAATTACAGAATGTGCTGGACTCTGATGCATCAGTATAATTGCTGGAGTGACAGATGGGCTTCTCATCAATTTTGTGACCAAAAAAGGACACCAGTATCCAGAATTTTATCCTGCTTTGACTGGTACAATTCTGGTGTAACTCAATTGAAGACAACAGGATTTAAGGGGTTCTAAGCAGTTATGTGCTTATATATGGACACAGTCATGCCCACTAACACTTGCAGTCCATTAGAAGACAAGGGGAGACTTTTTCCCATGAAAAGAGTGCCCTGGGGAGTGAGGGTGAGGGAACTGAGGATGCACAGAGTAGCAATTTGTAGGCTTTTTCTGGGAGAGAGGAAGGAGCAGAGGAGTATCAACCCAGAGCTTGCTCCTGTATAGAAAAGTCAGAGCATAAACTATATGGAAAATTTTGTTTTGGTCAGAACAGTGAATCCAACCCAGCAAAATAAATTTGTAGAATCTGTTTTGTAAATTATCAAACAAGAACATGTGTGTGTAATGGGAGCCCTGTAAAATTCACTTTTCTGAGTATTTGTTTTAACTCAACCAGAAATCCTAGTGCCAAAAAAGCATGTGTTCTCCTTCTTAACCCCCCTTATTCCTGAATATCTGATGCTTATTTACTTCTTTTCCCAGCTTGGGGATTACCAGAAGGCTTTTGAACACCTTGGAAACGCACTTACTTACGACCCAGGCAACTACAAGGTATCATGAGGAGTGGAAACAAACCAGCTGAATGATGATGAGACACCTCTTAAAGCTAATTTCAGTATCAGAGCTTTGCCATATATCCAGCGTCTTAGCCTGGAGGGGCGGAAAAGGATCATGCCCAGAAAGCTTTCTCTGAAATACATTTTCGGGACCTTTCCCTGGGTGGGGAGCTGGGTATGTGTGGAGGTAGGGAAAGGGGGGGAGGGAGAATATGGGGTGTTT